AGAAGATAATCTTTCAAAGAAAGCTTGTAATCTCATATTTTGTCTAGATTTAAAACTTGTTTAGTTTTATCTACCATATTTTGATCTTGTGGCGTTGGACGTCATTTTGAACTTGATCACAAGACATATCATCTTGTTTATATTTATGGAATGACACGTTTGTGTCTTTGGACAAATTGTTTATAATGATACCAAAAGAGATAAGACCATAGAGTCAAATCAGACTTACTTGTGGCATTGTCGTCTTGGCCACATCAACATCAAACTCATCAAGAAACTTCTACAAGAAGGTGTTCTTGACTCTTTCGATTTAGAATTGTTTGAGAATTGCGAGGGATGTCTATTAGGAAAGATGATTAAACAACCATTCTCCAAGTTGGGAGAAAGGGCAAGTGACTTATTGTGTCTTATACATACCGATGTATGTGGACCAATGAGCTCAACCACAAGAAATGGACATCGATATTTCATCACTTTCACAGACGACTATAGTAGATATGGCTATGTCTACCTCATGTCGAATCAAAGCCCTTCGATCGGATCGAGGTGGTGAATACTTGAGCCAAGAATTCGATGACCATCTGAAAGAAAAGGGTATACTTTCAGAATTGACACCTCTAGGAACTCCACAATGGAACGGAGTATCCGAAAGGAGAAATCGAACCTTGTTAGACATGGTACGATCAACAATGGGTCTTAGTGATCTTCCTATCTCTTTCTGGGGACACGCACTTCTAACTGCGGCACTAACACTGAACCGTGCTCCACCAAAAGCTGTAGAAAAGACTCCATATGAATTTGTGGGCTACCCAAAAGAAACCAAAGGGTATTACTTCTACAACAAATCGGAGAACAAAGTGTTTGTTGCTCGCGATGGTGTCTTTTTGGAGAAGGAGCACCTTTCCAAAATGACAAGTGGGAGGAAAATCGAACTCGACGAAGTTCGTGAGGACGAGCAACAAAATCATAATGACAGTCAAAGTGCTCAAACAGTATCTGTTGACGCAGGTCAAAATGATTAAAATGTGCAAAGTCGAACCGACAATGCAAATGCTCAATCCATTACCCTACGTAGGTCTCAGAGGCCGAGATCTCAACCTGATAGATATCTTGGTTTAGTATTAACCGAGAATCAGGACACCCTGATTATGGATGTAGATGAACCGGCAACCTACAAGCAAGCGATGGCAAGCACTGACTCTGCTAAATTGCAAGAGGCCATAAGATCTGAAATGGATTCCATGTTTGAAAATCAAGTCTGGAACTTGGTTGACTTACTCGAAGGTTATACACCTATCGGATGTAAGTGGATTTTCAAGTTGAAAACCAACAAAGATGGAAATGTATTAATTTACAAAGCTAGATTGGTGGCAAAAGGTTACAGACAAGTTCATGGTATTGATTACGATGAAACCTTTTCACCAGTCGCAATTCTTAAATCCGTTCGGATCCTCCTAGCTATTGCTGCATATTACAATTATGAAATATGGAAGATGGACGTCAAAACCGCCTTCCTTAATGGTTATTTGGAAGAAACTGTGTATATGACACAGCCTGAAGGTTTTTTCGACCAAAACAATGCTAGGAAAGTTTGTAAGCTTAAGAAGTCCATTTATGGACTAAAGCAAGCAAGCAGAAGTTGGAATCTACGATTCGATGAAGCCATCAATAAGTTTGGTTTTATAAAGAATCCAGATGAATCTTGTGTTTACAAGAAGGTTAGTGGGAGTGACATCGCCTTGCTAGTCTTATATGTCGATGACATATTGCTCATTGGAAACAGCATTCCGTTGTTAGAGTTTGTAAAGGCCTGGCTTGGAAAGTGCTTCTCAATGAAAGACTTGGGAGAGGCTCAGTACATACTAGGCATCAAGATCTATAGGGATAGATCGAAAAGGATGATTGGATTGAGTCAGAGTACTTATATTGATAAGGTACTTGCTCAATTTGGCATGGAGGAGGCCAAGAGAGGTCTCCTGCCAATGTCACATGGCATAACCCTGAGCAAGAAGCAGTGTCCACAGACACCTGATGAGCGGGTAAGAATGAATCAGATTCCATATGCTTCGCTTATTGGATCGATCATGTATGCCATGATATGTACTAGGCCAGATGTATCGTATGACTTGAGTGCTACGAGCCGTTACCAATCAGACCCAGGAGAGGCGCATTGGACTGCGGCCAAAAATATCCTAAAGTACTTGAAAAGGAACAAGGATAAATTCTTGGTGTATGGTGGTGCAGAGGATTTAGTTGTGGAAGGTTATACCGATGCAAGCTTCCAGACAGACAGAGACGATTTCAAATCGCAATATGGATATGTGTTCTGTCTAAATGGAGGGGCGTTTTGTTGGAAGAGCACAAAGCAGAGTACAACTGCAGATTCTACAACTGAAGCCGAATACTTAGCAGCTGCTGAAGCAGCTAAGGAGGCTGTTTGGATTCGTAAGTTCGTTAGTGAACTTGATGTTGTACCCTCTATAAAGGGTCCAATATCCCTCTATTGTGACATCAATGGAGCTATTGCTCAGGCCAGAGAGCTTAGGTAACATCAGAAGGTCAAACATGTCAAGCGGCGATTTCACATGATTCGAGAACGGAAATCAGAGGGTGAAATCAGAATTTGCAAAGTTGGAACGGATGACAATGTAGCCGATCCACTTACTAAACCTTTGCCTCAAGTGAAGAACAACAAGCACGTTGAGGCAATGGGAATCAAGGATGTAGGACACTGGCTTTGATTTCCTTGTTTAGTGTTTTAGTTAATTTTGAGAAAAATTAATGTAAGACGCTAAGGAAAACCATTCAAGTTTTGGAGTAATATAAAATTTCATGCAATATTTTATTACTCCGTTATGCTATTTAATTGTGGTTTAGGATTAAATAATGAGTCTATTCGATTATGAGAATATTCAAAATAGGGTATCAAGACCAGTCTTGGTAAGGAAACACCTATTAAGTGAACATTGAATATTATAATCGAAAATTATCCCTAATCAAGGTCATTTAAACTATGGACGATTAATGACCAATTGAGATTAGTGTGTAGTCTGATTTATAGCACCGTTTCATGTGCTAGAAGGAAATGATTGTCATAAATCATTTGCACAGGTATTGGTTTAGAACTATACTGGATCGACCTATGAGATAACTTTAAGAAATTAAAAAATTTGTCATAAGTATACTTCTCATTATGGCTATCGGAACCTATTTCCTCAACCATGAGTATTGTGAGTTCTCTTATTTGAGTACTAGTTCGCTTTGATGTTGTCAAACGTCTGCCGTAATAGGGGATTATAACGGCAACACTCGGGCGACTAGGTCCTCTCAGTAAGAGGAGCTACATGACAAGATTGGGAATATCCCCCTACTAAAATAGGGAAGATGTCTTTGTTGTATACAAGGCCTCTCGTAGAGCGAGACTGTAAAATGCATGGCCGTGCTCGGATGGATTTTAGAAATCATTTGTTTATTGACAGTCGGACTCGGAATCATGAAACACTTCTGGACGTAATAAGGATGACAAAATAAATCTTACCTTATAGTTCATGAAGAGACATTAAGCGACATAGGAAAAAGGCTGTACACAAAATGCGCACTTGTCCGGAAGGACAAGTGGGAGATTGAAAGGAATGGTGTCCTTCGAACAAGTGTACTATTCCGTTAGTGGGTTCAGAATTATTAGAAAGCTAATATATTCAGTGAGGTCAAGTGATAGGAATGCCTGGGTGGAGGCCGCTTCCGATCAGTAATATTAATGAATAATTAATATTACAGCTTAATCTTGACTGAACCCTTCGGGTCACACCCAAGCATTCAACAAACCGAAACGATGAATTAATTCGGAAGGAATTAATGTGTCGACCGAGTAATATTTATTTAGACGTCAGAAATTCGAGCTTAGAGCGTCGAAATCGACCGTCGGAAGTCGAGTCGAAAAATAGTGAAAGACGAGACGAGAAATAGTAATAAATCAACAAAAGACCAAAATACCCCTAGCATCGGAATGCCCAAGAAAACCGAGTGCTAAGGGCGTATGGCCTAGCATGGTGGCTAGCATGCGCACCAAGCCGAGCCTAGGCTGGCTGGTGCGTGCTAGCGCACCCATGCTAGCATCGCAAGTCTAGGCGCTACCTAGTGCGTGCTAGCATGCTAGGCGCAGCCTTGTGCGCGCAATGGCTAGCAAGCCATGCCGCAACAAGCTGCAGCAGCTAGCACGCTAGGCGCGCCAGCTCGCCACAACTAGCAGCAGCATGGCTAGGCCATTGCTTGCTGCCTAGCAGCGCTGGCCAAGGCACAAGGCCAGCAGCAGCCCGCACAAGCATGATGGGCTTGCAAGCCAGCAGCGCCTGGCAGCCCGCATGCGAGTGCTGGGCCTGCTGGGCTTGCTGGACCTGGCTGCCACGGACAACAGCACATGGCAGCCCACCTTGGCTGCCTTGGTGCCCAAGGGTGGGTGCCATGTTGCTAGTGGTCCTTGAGTGTGTGTGGAGTGAGGTGGCCGGTTATGGGAGAGGGAGTGGGGAGCAAGTTTGGTCCCCCCCCCTTCTCCAAGTGGTCCTCACCTAGCCACTCACATGAGCTTGCCACTTGTTGATTTATTACTAGCTTGATTATTAATTTTATTTTAGCTTTAAAATAAAATGGAAAAATCATACTATCCCACATTGATGGGAGAGTAAATGATACTCCTATCATTTCCTATAAATACCCAAGTATGGGCATTGGGAATGTTGCTTGAGTAAGAGTTGAAAAAGGCATCACAATTAGTGAAAACCTTTGAACTTAATATAATTACTCGGGTTTTATTGGTCGGGTCTTGATAACCCCAAGACATTGGACCTAGTCGGTTTTGTTGGTGCGGGTGGACTTCGTTGGAGGTCTCCGTGTGAGCGGGACTTGAAGCTTTCAAGTAAGAGCTCATTTTGGAGCAAAGCACGCGTCAAAGGTAATTAGCTTATCTTAATCTTGTGATTAATTTAATTATGTTTATGGTTTTATTTATTACGAGTGCGGTCTTGTTTTTGGGTTTGTTTCCGCGGTGAGTCGGACTCACCAAACCCCAACACTTCCTACACCAATATTGAAATTCACTCTTAAAAAAAAAACTAATTAAAAGGTATCTTTTCTTACACAATTGATCAAGTAACAAAATCAACTATGTTAATCACTTTTAAATCCGGAAATTCATGGAGTGTTTGATGCTCAAGCGCCCTCGAGTCTGCATTTGTAGGAGTACCGACCTGCAGTAGTTAATCAACAATGCCACCTTAGATCTCACGTAACTCAATATGCCAAAACTAAGAGATTGGAAACTACCTTATGTATCTCATATTCTCCATGTCTCTCATCTTCTCCATGTCCTTGTGGCTGACTACTTGAGTCGACCGGTGTAGTCGAGTGGAATGGCAAGGGTATGTTCATTTGCTTCTCCCAAGCATTGAATTCAACTACTAACTCATTGCGGACTTAATCCTTAATCGATGCTACCTTGGCATCTAAATCATCTGGTGAGTTAACACTTGATCGAGATATTCCCGATTTTGTGTATTCTGAACCCATCACCTTTTCCCATCCTAGCAATGTCCCCCCCGAACCTACTACCCGTCCTGGATGGTAGGCCTTTCCCAAAGCCAAGGTGAAAGGATCTTTCTCTACATTTGGGACCAGCTTGCCTTGAACAACTTCTATAGTGTACTCAAGCTGTAGCAAAAACAAAAATGTAACACACATATAGGTAATGTTTTTTTATAATGATAATTACGCAAAAGCTTCATAAAGCGTACAAGTTTATCAGCCATTTCTTTGGTTTTCGGTTTCTTGATGAACCATTTTTCGGATTCCTTATCAAACGAATGGAGAGAACAAATGAAATCGCTAGCAGAACTCACTAACGTAGTGATCGAGGAGTTAGAGGGTTTGTTGGATAACCCTTTAAGAAAAATGGGGTATATTTTCTCCTTGATCCAAGTTACCCTCCATTCACCAAATGTCTTGGCCCCCACACGATGGATGTACTCCTTCTTTAATGCATTTTCCATATTTTGTTCTAGAAGTTCCTACATAAAAAGAAATTTAAGTATCATTACTTCAAAAAGAGTCAATATATTACACACTACTTAATAGATTTACCGAAACTTACAACGACTTTTTTTTTACTTCTTTGAAGAACGAAGGCATTCCACTCATCCTTCTTAACACTTGGCCATATTTGCCACGAGAGTTTTTCTTCCTCAACAACTTTGTCATTTCCACCTTCATTATCCTTCCCCTTGCAGGATTTGTTCTTTTGTTTCTTCTTCTTCTTCTTATAGATCCATCCATTAGTCAAGAAGGTCTTAAAGCCTCTAATTCTTTTCGCTGCTAAAGATTCAAACAACCTTCTCTTTTTGGCATCATTAGGAATATTACATAGCTTCTGCAAGGACAAATAAAAGCAATAATTAGTTTCTATTTAATAATAACTCCAAGGTGAAGGTATTTATAATTTTTAAATGTGCAAACAAAACACTCGCCCTTGTATCATCCCAAAATGTTTGAATCAAGCCGGGAGGTACTTGCCGGCAACCAAGTGTAATGGGGATTTTGCGTGCACACATGCCAACTTGGTTTCCATATTCCCGACACCATTTGCCCGTAGGTTGGCCTTTGTTGTCATACTCCAATACCATGTCACCGGTAGGCTTCTTAAAACTTGTCGTCGGACCCCTACCCTTTCTCGTAGCTGGTCCCTTTACCCCCCCATCCACCTCCGGTGTTCATTTGATCATCCTGTCCTTGGCTTTGAGTTTGAGGAGTAGGAGTCTCACCAACTTTATAGTAACTGCATAACTTTATAGTAATGCATATATGCAAAAAAGCAACGCCAGACCACTAAGCCATTTTTTGCCATTCTTAACCAGTTAAACATAAAGAAACCCAATACATTGCCTAAATCATAGCAATGGCACATGTATACATGTTTAAACTATATCATCAAGAACTCTTTTACACAACTCGGAAGTGCAGAAGAGAAGGCAGCCAAGGTCCAGATAAGGATCTCCATTAAACAAACAAAAATCATTTTCTTATCAAATATTTTAGTGAAGAAAGTACAAATTGAGCATCACCTTATACGCAAGGTCTTTGAGAGTATCAACTATTTTGGCACAATCAGCTAATTTGGCAAGGATTTCATTAGATTTTACAGGATCATATCTCAGTAGTTGCAATCACACATTTTCTCATCTCTTCAGACAGACATCTCTTCTTCAAGCTGAAGCACTATTGGTGCCAGCATCTCACCACGAAGAACGATATCTTTAATTTTCTTTCTCAAAGAAAATATCCCTACACAAAACACAATTGCTAACAATCAATTCTACATTATGGAAAACGACATGAATTTGGTAGAGAATATAAGTCACAAAATGTTCTTTAAGACACAAACTACTTGAAGGCAATATGAAGTTTCTAAAAGGGTTTTATTAGCAGCTGACACTCAGTAATGATACGTAGAGATAATCTTAGGATAAACTCCACTTGTAGATCCTTTTAGTTTCCAATTAAGAAGATACATTCAGAAAGTCAGAAGGCATCTTACCTAGATAATTACTAAAATTTGGAATGCAAGGGTTTTTCCCAGGTCAATGACCCATGTGTGGACTAGGAAGAACTGCATATTTACTTCCATTTCCTAAAATTTTTGTGATTATTTCCTGTAATTACAAATAGCAAACTTAAGAATAAAATATCAATGAAGATACCAATTACAAGACAGCAAAAGTCATTTGCAAAAGAGAGCCTCGGGTATATATACAATATGCAAACAGAAATAACGAAAAGAAATAGAGCCTCAAGTATAGTCACCACCATCCAATCGCCAATTACCATGTTCAACACCATTACCTCGCCTTTTCCACCACTAGAAACACCAAATGGACCACCACAAACCCCACAAAATGAAACCATAAACCTAAAAAAACCGAACTGAAGAAACCAAGAAATTTAAATATGAGCAAGACTGGTCAAGATTGTGAAACAACCTAGAATGAAACGAAAAATTTCACACAACATTCATAGTTAACGATGAAACAAGAAACCTAGATCTAAAAGGAAAATCAACAAGCTTAATTTTAAATAGCTGAAAAAATACAGCAAAAATAGGGATTATTAGAAAAAATTACCTTGATAAACACCCTTCTAAAGTCGTCGAAAACATCTAAGAGGTTTCGATATTATGATCTCTTCTTCTTGGAGTGTGATTATTGCTTTTTTATTCTGGGTCGTATGAGTATTAGCACCCAAAACCCTAATTAATTCCTAAAAGCCACAAAATAATTTAACAACAAAATCAAAGAGATAATTCGAAAATCTCTCTCATTTTCGTTACCTCTTTCCTTTTGTCTCTGTACACGAGCTTTAATCGGAGGTCGTCAAAGAGTGGTGCGCCTTGAAGTAGCCTTGAAGAGAGATTTATTCACCTCTCCCTCTTCTCTCTCTTTGTTTTTCTAGGGTTAGGGTTTTGCAGGGCGGAAATATTGAAGATAACTAAAGGAATGGAAGGAGGAGGGTTCAGTGGACTGCAAAAATGGAGAAGGCGGAGCGAAAATGGTGAAGTTGCAAGTTGTTTCCCTTTTTAAAATTGTATGAGAGAGATGATGGGTAGAAAATATAGATTTTCCAATTCACTTGTTTAGTAGCGGGACTCTCAATGTCAGTTGTGAATAAATGTTCTACTTTTTATTTTATTGTTAGTAGTAGCGAGGGGGATGATGGACCGCTACCCGGTATAGGCTACCCCGCCCAATACCAAGTGACGTCAATTTTTTTTTTTGATATCTTTTATTTAAGATAAATAACCGTACTTAATGACTTAATAATAGTATTTGATAAATTAATTACAGCACCTTAATTTAAAATAACAACTTTTAATAATACACTGATTTTTACTATAATCCGATCTGATAATTACTTTAAATGCCTTTTAACGGTACTAGTTATCACAACTCTACTACTTATACATCAAAATAAATTATTTTAACAGTTTAAAAGCCCACCATGCTTCGCAATAATAGTTATTTAACTAGAGAGTTTTGACCAATACCTGAACTTAGTCGACAATGGAACCTCCGGCGTTCTGAGCTTCCGGCTTTATCAAGGTAGCTAACCCCAACCCTGTCTTCCTTAGATCAGGCTCAGCATAGATCTAATTCGTTTCCTACCTTAGACCGTAATCTCTAATTAGACAATCCTTATTGTGTTTATGATGGAACTAAATAGACAGATAACTCATTTGATATATAAGGTTCAAGAGGATAACGTTCCCTTCTTGAACGAAACTTTTATTTAATTTGAAAAGATTACAACACTCATATATTACAACAAACACACAAACTGAAAGCTTTAACAGACATAAGCTGAACTAGAGTTTTTCTCTACTTTAAGAGAGATGGAGAACCAATCTGTCTCTTAAGGTGAGTATCTTTCTCTAGAGGACTCTCTAATGTTTTCAGAGCAATTCTCTAGCTAACTCTTCCAACTCTGCCTTCACTTCTTGACCTAAGTCCCTTTATATAGGGAAGCAAATTTACATAGGATCCTTATCCTAATTCAGCAAGCAATTCTACACCATTGCTTTTTTACAAAGACACTTTAAGACAGAAACAATTAATAAAACGTGGCTACAGTAAAGATGCCTTGAATTATTGCTAGTGTGGGCTCATGCATTCATAATTTCATCCATCATCATTTCTTGTAGGCCTCCTTCACTATCTTTACTGTCTTCGTACATAGGATTCTCTCTGCAAAGGTCTGCGACACACTTGGCTGCATACTCTTCATCCCAACTCATGAATGCTTCAAACAGATACTCATAGCCTTCAAATGACAGAAACTTTCCTCTTTCGATATCTTCTAAATATTTGTAGATTGACTCGGTATTGTTTATGCCATCTACTAAATATTCTTTCATCTCATTAGGTGCCACAATTGTTGTGTTACCAACACCCGAAATATGACAAGAGGAATTTCTTTCCTTTTTATAAAATCGTTAAGATATTGTGAAATGTAGAAAAATCCCAATGCTCTTGCTTCAGTTGGATTTCTAACCGTCTTCTGACGAATTAGTATGGGATCTTTGCAATACCTCACTCCCCTAAATACTATTAAGTAATGCGGGGGACTAACTTTTCCTTCTTTAACTTCGATGTTAGCACATTGTACCTTTACGCTTAACCGAAATTCGTCTTTTTTGTCTTCACAATATTTTCGAACCTTGTTGAATGCGTATTGCTGGAACTTGGTAAGTCTTTGAAAGAAAGAGTCATTAGGAGTAGGGAATTCATAAAAATCATGTACCATTCCATAATCCCAAGCCTTGTAATGTATACTAATGAATGAAGCATTTTTATTAAGAGGATATGGGTAGATTCCCAATGATGCAACTTTAGAGTTTTTGGGAAACTCTACTCTTTCTCCCCATAGATCTCGAAGATCAAAGAATTTACTGGACCATGTAGCCACCAACTCGTATCATGTCCTAAAATCATTATCTCTTATTTTGTTTAATATTATATCTCTTACATCAAGAATGAGCTGAAATAACATAATTGTTATCTCGAACATCAATATCCTTTGGACTGCCCGATGGCAACCCTTAATTAAACCATCTTGCGAACGTTGTTTTGCTGATATGATCAAGCCTTGCATTAAGGCCCAACTGGAGGGTGAAACCCGCTCCATTGCCTTCTCGGTCTCATCAATGAGATTTTTCCTCTCTACATCCTTCTTTTGAAGTTGGTATGCAGGAGGTTTTCGTGTAGTCTTGAGCTTCTTGGACGACATTAGCTAATTCTCTGGTCAAGCTGTCTGCCAAAAAATTCTTTGTTCCCTGTATATGTTCTACAGTAAAAGAGAATTGGTTAAGCCATAATTGCCAACGCAGGAGTCTCCCTTGCGCTTGCATATTAGACAAATTCTTTTTAACAAAACCGAGTATGCCTTTGCAATCTGTTCTTATTATGAACTGTTTAGGGGCTAAGAAGATTAAAAACTTCTTGATCCCTCTAATAACTGCAAGGATTTCCTTTTGCATTGTAGGATAGTTTAACTCAGCTTTGTTAAAACTTTCACTGCTATATCTGCAAAGTCTTTCTCCTTCTTTTATTTTTAACACAGCACTCCAGTGCTCATTACTAGCATCTATTTCAAGGATTAAATCATCTTCACTAGTAGGTAGTGTTAGTACAGGAAGGTCTTTACACATAGCTTTTAAATCTTGAACAATTTTGGAATCACTTTCCTTCCAGTTCCAAGTTATTTCTTTCTTGAGTTTTTTCTGTAACGGCTTCCTTAATAAAGCAAGATTTTCTATAAAATCAGAAGCATAAGTTAAACATCCTAGAAACCTTTCTAGTTGCTTTCTATCTTCAATTTTATCAGGAAATTTTTCAATCTTTTCTAAAATATGTTTTTGCAATATTATTTGTCCCGCTTTAATTTCTAATCCAAGAAACTCAATTTCTTGTTTAGCATAAACACATTTATCCTTTCCAAGGATTATACCATGCTCTGCACATTTTTGAGTAACTGCTTTAAGATCATTCTTATGTTGTTCTAAATCTTTTGAGAATATTAGAATATCATCTATATAGACCAAACAACAATGATTAAGTTCTCTAAAAATATTATCCATTCTTCTCTGAAATATTTGTGGAGCATTTTTTAACCCAAAAGGCATTACTAGCCATTCATAATGCCCTTGAGGGGCACTAAATGCAGTTAAAGGAATGCTCTCTTCTTCCATTTTAATTTGCCAGTAGCCACTCTTACAATCCATTTTAGAAAACCATGTGGCTCCTTGTATTTTATTAAATAACATAGTTTTATTAGGAATATAATAGCCATAACAAACAGTATTATCATTTAGTTGTTTATAATTAATAACCATTCTAGCTTTACCTCTTTTTTCTTCTGCATGATTTCTTACCATGAGTGCTGAAATATTATGAGGACTTTTGCTATTCCTAATTAGCTTTTTATTAAGCAACTCTTTTATTTGTTCATCAAACTCCTGAATATCTTGGTAGGTATAAACCATTTGTCTCACTCTAATAATCTTATTGGGATTTGTTAGAGTTATCTTAGCAAATGTTTTATCCTTTTCCCAATGTTCTAAAGGATTTGTTGAATATAACTTTTCGCATAGTTTTTCTTGTTGC